CCCCCCCCCCCCCCCCCCCCCCCGCCTGCAGCGGCTCCCCGGGCGAACAGCGTGCTGCTGCGTCATCGCTAGTGGCCGGTTTGAATGAGGCTTGTCGCATCGGAGCTACCGCCACCACCGCGCTTCGTCCCCGGCAGGCTCCACAAGCTGCTTCATATCCCTCTGTGGTCCTTGTCAGACCCAGCCTCCTGCGCCGTTTCCTCCTTCTGCCCTACCATGCCTCTCTACTCCGGTGAGCTCCATCCTCCCTCGCGCCGCGCTCTCGCAGCTGATGGTAGGCCTCCGCCTAGGCCCAGCCTGCAGGGGCGCGCGCAGGGCACAGCCGCGGAGGGCCACTGTGGGAAGTGCGGGGTAGCAGCCGCGCGAGTCGGCGCCCAGCCACGCGTGGGAGCTTGTCCGCCGTGTCTCCGAGTGGGTGGGGTGGGAGCAGGTGTGGAGACACGGAAAACCTCAAGCAAGAGTCGTGACTCTGCAGAATATTTTCTGTCGGTGACCTAGTGTGCTGGGAAAGGTGAAGGTGTGTCCTGGGGCTCAGAAGACCAGGCTGGTCGAGTGTGATTGTTTTGAGCTCCTGGATGATAGCAGTGAAATGAGCATGGAAGGAAGTTGGGGACGGAAGGTCTCGGGTATAAGGTTTGCTTGCCTTCTGCTTGGGGTTGCTTCAGTAGCTCCCTTTGCTCACCCTATTGGTTCTACCGCCCCCTTTGTGCCAATTTTAGTTCTATCTCGAAGCCGTCTGCAAATCAGTCTTTTTGATGCTTCGTTTTAACTTCAGCATACATTGCTTTAGACTGCGAAGATGCACCATAGTGTTAGCTTCAAAGGGTAGATCAATACAAATACTGGCAAGTGCCGTTTCTTTCCCTTTGACATTTGGCAGAAGTCTTTTCTTTCTGGCTTTCCAAGATACTGACCAAGGATCATGTTTTCCTTAGTTAATGGACTTCACTCTTCCTACTCTTAGTCAAAATGGCTTCCAAAAATGTGTATGGCAACTCCAGTTGGCTATGGATGTGGTTTATTGATTATTCTGACTCTCCACTTTGACATCATTTATAAGACATTGATTGCTTTTAAAGAATTATGTGAACCAAGAATAATAGTTAATTTTAGGATGGATTCTTTTATTAAATTTTTTGTTTGGAGACAGGAGACAAGGCCTAGCTGTGTAGGCCTAGCTGGCCTGAAACTCAGAAGATCGCCCCTCTCTGCCTCCCAATTGCTGGGATTAAAGATGTCCACCCCCACACCTGGCGTCCTCTCCTTTATTTCTAATACTGTTTTCATTTGTCCTGTGTTATCTTTAGCTTTACTATTATTATACATTACTTTAAAACTTGTAGGCCACATATGGTGGCTAACGCTTTAATCCCAGCAGAGTTAGGCCGATCTCTTATTTTAGGGCCAGCCTGGTCTATAGAGCAAGTTCTAAGACAGTCAGGGAACCAACACAGAGAAACCCTGTCTCGAAAAACCAAAAAAAGAAAGAAACACACACACACACACAAAATAACTTGTTATTGTGTTATTGGGGATCAAACCTAGGAGGAACTTGTGCATGCTAAGTAGAAACCACTAAACTGTATTCTCAGTGTCTTTGCTTTTTGTCTCTTTATGATTACAGTTATTTAACTCTTTCAGGGATTACACATTGCATATACCATAAAAGACCATATGTATGTTTTAGTGTGCCATATGCTACCTTTCTTCTTCTTCCTCCTTCCTCCTTCCTTCCTCCTCTTCCTCCTTCTTGTCCTCCTCCTCCTCCTCCTTCTTCTTTTTTTCTTTTTTTTTTTGATATATAGGGTTTTTCTGTGTAGCCTTGGCTGACCTGGAACTTGCTCTGTAGACCAGGCTGTCCTTGGTCTCATAGATCTGTTTACCTCTGTCTCCTGAGTGCTGGAATTAAAGGCATGCACCACCACTACCTGGTCATATGCTGCCTTCCCCACTTAACTCTTGTTAATAGCTTCCAGTTTTCTCTGGTACTTTCTAATACACTCTAGGAATTATTGCTATCTCAGAACTCATGCTAAATTTTTGTTTTCCTTGTCTGTTTTAAGAATACTTCTATTCTCTGACTAATACCTTTGCTTTGAGATTCAACTCAAAAGTTGGCAGTGATAATTCAAAAGTTAATAATTCCTCCAAGTCCTGATTGGGTTATGGTGGTTCATATCTCTAGTCTCAACATTTGAAGCACTGAGACAGAAGCAAATTTTGGTACAATGTAGGCTACACAGGAAGACCCTGTTCCAAAAAGCAAAATCAAACAGAACAATAAATAATACTTCCTTACTCAAGACTTTTGTTTAGTTGTGTGTGTGGTGGTGTACACCTTTAATCCCAGCATTGGGAGGCAGAATCTTTCTGTGAGTTCAAGGCCCAGCTTGAACTCAAGGCCATATCGAATTATAGTCTGGGCTACATAATAAGACCATGTCTTAAAAAGAAAATTGTTCTTTGAGCCTTTAGTCTTTATAATAACATTATAACTATCACATCATCTCTATATTAGATTCTCTCTAAAGATGGGTAATGTACTTATTATTAAATCAATGTTTATTTATTCTGTATGAGGTGGGTGTGCATGCAAAATGTGTTTGGTGGTCAGGGGAATTGGTTTCTTCTTCCACCATGTGGATTGTCCGATTGGACCCAGGTTGTCAGGCTTAGCAACAAGTGCCGTTACTTGCTGAGCCTTCTCTCTGGACCCATTAAATCTGTCTTTAACATACTTTGTTAATAGAGTTGAGAAGTGTACTCTGGGTCAGGAATTAAAGTTTTGATTTCTAGAAGTTGGAATTTGTTTTGAAATTTTCATTTTTGAAAACACTCAGTTTTCAATGTATTTGCTTGAGTTTTATTATTTACATATTTCAAAGGTTAGCTATTAAAAAAAAAGGTTAGCTATTTGAAGTTGAGTCATGCTTTTTTTGTTTTTATTTCTTGAGCCAGTTCCTCTATATAACCCTGGCTGTCTTGGAACTTGCATTTTATAGACCAGACTGGCCTCCTCCAGTTCACAGGTTCTCTTGTTTCAGCCTCCTTAATGCTGGGACTGAAAATGGTTGCCACCACTACCTAAATTTTTTTTCTTGGAAGTAGTTAGTTCATGCTTATTTTCCATTGCAACTGCTATTTTATGTTTACACCAGTTGTGCACAGGATTCTAGTTTTTCTACACTCTCACTAACCCTTATTATTTTCTGTCATAAGAAACATTTGTGGGGGATACTAGGAGGGAAACAGTGAAGTAAAAGTGCTTGTGTGATCTGAGTTCCATCCCCAGTACGCATCCACATGGTGGATGAAGAGAATCAACCCATGCAAGTTATCCTGTGACCTTAACATGCTTGCAATGGCATGCATACCCCATACATAAAAATATATGCTTAGTAATAAGTAAACTGTAATGAAAGTTAAAAGACTTTTTAAATTCTGTGCTTGCAGGCATGTGTACTCAGGAAGTTGAGGCAGGAGAATTGCCAGTTTGAGCCCAGTCTCAGCTATATGCTAAGACTTGAACCTCAAAACCCCAAATAATGGAGGCAGGGAGACCATAGCTAACATATGTAGCCAACATTTCTTTGGATTTTTTTTAATACTTGAATATCTCTTTGCTTGGAAAACAACCTTTCATTTTTCATACGCCTTTCTTATAGTTTAGAAGTATAATACTTTTTAAAAAAGAATGGTGCATGTGTGCGCATATGCGCACACATGCCAGTTTGTGCATGTGCAGGCACACATTTTGAGAAGACAACTTTTGAGAGTTGGTTCTACCTTTCCACACTGAGATCTGGAAATCGAATGCTGGTCATCAAGCTTGTAAGCAAAGCATCAAGCTTTTATCCACTGAACCATCTCATGGACCCAATAATTGTTACAACTTTCTTCTTTCTCTTTTTTGCTTTTTTTTTTTTAATTGAGACAGGTCTCATGCAGATCTTGTTGGCCTGGAACTCTGTAGAGGGACAGATCATGAGCTCATGGGAATTCACCTCCCTATGCCTCCTGAGTGCTAGGATTAAAAGTGTGCAACTACATACTCAGCCTGAATTATAATTCCTTACCCTGTTTTCAGTACTCTTTTCTTCCCTCAATCAATCAATCTATCTATCTATCTATCTATCTATCTATCTATCTATCTATCTATCTATCTATCTAT